CCTTTAAATTGATGATTTGTACATCCAGTATTGTACAAAATTGTTCTTTTCTTACCCAAAATGGTAAATAAACTAGGGTAGAAAGGCTAAAATAGGAAAGTTGGTGGGAACAGAAAAAAATGAGGATCAACATTTAAGTGACAGTTGAGTACATGATTATTATTTTTAAAGTTAAAAAAAAATATTGTTTGTGAAATATCAAGAAATTTTAGCACTCGTTATTCTTTAAAATTCATTTGACCTCAAATTAATTTTTAACTACACGTTCTTTCAATGGAATAATTCTACACGTAAATATATACCTATTTCATATTTGTTAATGACACGTTAAAAAAAAAATCATTTTTCACAATTCTATTCTTCAAAAATATACATGAAATAAGCCCTTAATTTTAATCCTAATATCTGTTAAGATTTGGAGTTCCATCTTAAAAGATCAACCTTATTAAGACGAGTAACCTAATACTTTATAAGTTGGTTTATGTTTACATCTTTATTCGATGTGAAATTCTATCCCTTAACATGCCCCGCAAAATGGTAGCTCGTTTGAGCACATCAATCTTGAAATCTGTATGCTCACTTTTGGAGTTTTAACCGGATCGAATTACTCGTTAAAGTTTAATGGGCTTTGATACCATGTTAAGATTTGTGTTCCATCTTAAAAGGTCAACCTTATTAAGAGGAGTAACTCAATCTTTTATAAGTTGATTTATGTTTACATCTTTATTCGATGTGGGATTCTATCCCTTAACAATATTAAGCACAACAAAGGAGTGCAATCAAGAAACTTTCAACCGAACACGTGATATGGATTATAAGAACTTTGTGGTAGATGTAGTAGTAGATCGAACATATCGTATGAATAAGATTTATGTAGTCAATTTTAAATACGATTTAATTAATTGTAATTGATTTTTTTTTTTTTGGATCTATATTGTTTGCTCTCATAGAAGAACCAATAAAAATTGCATTTTCCATTTTTATTCCATAATCTTTATTATTTTAACAAATAAAGACCAAAAAAAGATCATATTCCGCGCAAGCAATATACAAAATTGAAACAAAAATAGAAATATTTAGATTGAAGAAGATACTCAAATCCATTCCCTTTAAATAATGTTGTGATAAGATTATGCATTATAATATTAAATAAAATTTCATTAATATGATTGAAGATGAGGATGAGGATGTGGATGTGGGTTGATTTCATTACATTTTCATGATAATCTGTCATAATCAAATAAATTATTTTACTAAAGAAAGAGGTTCCAAGTTTAATTACCTGGCTTGTTATTTGGAATATATTATATGTTGTATGACTAATGTTATCTATCATTCACAGAGATGCACCGATTAGGTGGTAATGTGTTCACTGTTTTATTGTCAATTGCATAAAAGAATATATTATATTAATGTTATTCATCATTAACAGAGATGCATCACCGAGTAGGTGGTAATGTGTTCACCGTTCCATTGCCCAATGCATAAAATTACACAAATCCATTGGACGATGAACTGGATGACTCATGATTGCCATTTAATTGATGATGCATCTCTATTAATTAATGACCGAGAACCAATTATGTCCCGCTATCATAGTAAACAACGTTAAATATTGTTACTTGTTTGGGTATCACTATAATGAAATTATAATGATGAAGAGTAATGAGTCTCAATTAGAATCAAAATTAATAACAGCAAAATGTGAGATGGGCTGTCCTACTAACCTGAGTTGTCCATCTGCCACCCTGGCCTCACTAGCTTTTTTCTTAATAAACCTACCAATATTTAGGGGTAGAATAATGCTACTTTGTCGAAAAGTAGATGACAAATAGAGTGACATAATAGGTGTTGGCAATATGTGATTGGATGACAAAACAGACTGTATTTTAAAGAATCCAATGATAGATTGCCATGTCGCATCCTAATTTTGCACTATAAATATATGCACAGTGCAACCTCCACGGGTTGTGTGTTGAAAGGGTGAATAAACAGCAATTCTATTCAGGTGATTTATACCAGAAAGAAAATAAGGGTCAATGTGAAATATACCCTACAAATTCACAATTCTTCCAATATACATTCAAGATTCTTTAAAGGCTTTTTCTCTTGAGAAAATGGGGTGAAGAAGTCATCAGACAGAGAAAAAAGAAACATATAGAAATATCAGGATTGAACCCACCAACAAATTTCTAAGATTACCCCACAAATAATGGAACTCGCTGATTCAAATACCAATGAACAAACTGCACCTCAACTCCAACCACCACATGGTGGTCGTGGTTGTTCATCATCGTCTACAGCCTCCGCTGGTGTTATAATTAACACCTACACCACTCAACTACCACCAGTACAGCTCGTGGAATCCTCCTTAGCCATCGTCACCACCGGATCGGAAACCAACAATGATTCGACCAAGAAGCCACCCAAGAGTTCAACAAAGGACAGGCACACAAAAGTTGACGGTCGAGGAAGGCGCATCCGAATGCCGGCCACTTGTGCAGCTAGGGTTTTTCAGCTGACACGAGAATTAGGCCATAAGTCTGATGGTGAAACCATCAAATGGCTCTTGCAACAAGCCGAGCCAGCTATCATAGCTGCCACAGGGACAGGAACAATTCCAGCCAATTTTTCCACCCTCAATATCTCTCTCCGAAGCAGCGGCTTCGCTCTGTCGGCTCCGCCCTCGAAATCAGCTCCACATTCTTTTCACAGTGCACTTGGACTAATACACCGCCCTTATGAAGACAATTCTTCACACATCTTAGGGTTTCACCAGCAACAAAGCTCTAATCTTTTACAAGCGGCTCAAATTACTAATACCTTAGGCGGCGGTGGAGGCAGTGGTGGAGATGGCGGCGTTGGTAGACAAGAAACGACAGAGAATTACTTTCAAAAGAGATATAGAGAAGATTTGTTTAAAGAACAAATAATCAATAATTCCCAAGGAGAAGGCTCCAGTTCACCTTCCAACAAAAAATTCAAGAGCTATGGTATGCAAACAAATTTGCCGAGGCACAGTACTATGCTGCCTACCGCTGCCATGTGGGCAGTGGCGCCAGCAAGCACCACCACCAACAACAGCACTTGCTGGATGTTGCCCGTCACTTCCGGTGGCGCAGGCAGCAATGGGCAGACTTTAGCAGGTAATAGTGCGGCTGGCCCACCGTGGCCAGCTGCAGGACCCTCTGAGTCTCATCAAATGTGGCAATTTCCCATGTCTACGAGATTTAATTACTCGGGAAATTTTGAACTTCAAGGTGGACTAATGCAGGAGCAACAACCACCTTCACAGCATCTTGGATTTGGCGAGTCCAATTTGAGAATGTTGGCAGCTTATTCAAGGGTTGGTTTGAATATAAATCCTGGGCAGGCTCAGCAAGTTCATCATCCATTGGAGCCACAGCAGCAGCAGATTCAGGCTAATGACAGTGGAGAAGATGACCCAAATACTTCGCAATGAGAGTATATATAGATAATTGCGAGTATATATAGATAATTAGGTAGATTTTAAAATCTGAATTTGGTCAGTGATCAATTACCTGAGTAATTATTTATTGAGTGAGCAAACTTTTAGTTTTTTTTTTCCTGATATGTCCAATTATTGGATTGGAATTGATCATAGCTTGCTCCAATTAATGTGTTGATTTTGCAGATTTATATATATAATTGAGTTATGATGAGGGTTGTTTTCATCCAATTCTTATATTCATGTGTTAATTTTACAAGTATTCGCGTCTCTAATTATCTCGTGTTGTGAAAATTGGACTTGCATGACCAACTAGAATGAAAAATCGAGAATTGGTCTCCAAATTCGTTGATTTATATAATGAAAATCGTATATTTAAAAAAGGGTACGAGACATACTTGGTTGAGCTAGTCAAGGGCTATCTTATAGTTAAAGCATTCCACAAAATTAAAGAAAAAAGTTGCATAATAAAATTGTCAATTGTTATTTTTAATTTTGATCAAGTAAAGAAGAAAACACAAAGAATGTTATTTGTTGGCCATATTCATGCATATACTCATTTCCATTCCATCTATATGGGGTGCTCATTTAGCACATATTTGGTCCTCATTTCTTCGAACTTATTTCAACTACATATTTCATAGTACCCACTACTTTTATCAACTATATATATATATATATATATATATATATACACACAGAGTAGAAATTTGATTTTTAACTAAATCATACAAAAGCTTAATAATATGACTATACTATTCTTGATTTGTTGACATGCACAAATAGAACAAGGAACTTGATCTCTTATCTCCGATGGAACGATAATCTCATAAACTCGTTGATTTCGTGCAATGTCATGGCAACAAGAAGCAACTATCATAAGTTAAGCATGCAACGATCCTTGTCTGCAAAGCACAACATTCGAGGCTACGTTATTAAAGATAAGATTAGGGCTAGCGACAATCTCCCTTGTCTACTAATACTATTGGGGATTTGTAAATCCTCGAGATTGTCGAATCTAGATCGAATTGTCAAACTCTGATTGAGGCCATCTATCCATTTCAAAGAGACTTACTAGAGTGGGAATATGCAAGATAAGGGCTAATATATCAAAATTTAGATCGAGAGGAAATCTTTTGAAAGGGAATATCTGATACTAATGTTTAAGCAAGATTTTAAATAATTATAATGTGGCGAAATGGTTATTAATTCATAGAATGATTTGAAATTTTAACTCTATGGAAATGAAATTCTACCTTGTATAGGGTGTCCACATTCATGTCACACTCCCACGTTTTTTTAGTGTTATCACTAATGTCATGCTCCAACTTCTCTCTACGTGACTATGATTCTTGGATAGTTTATGACTTGCTTCTCGGGTTTAGTTGGTATGGTTTGGTGTCTCCGTGTTAAACTAAGCCTATATTCGTTCTTGGTCGAGCTCGACTAATGGTCTACTGAGTGAGGCTTTGTTCATCAAAACCATTTTTTTGTTTAGAAAGTTTACTATTAACCACGCGATTCGCACGTGAGGCACTATCTCAAATGTAACATGGTTAAATAATGAACAATGCTACACATCCAAAGTTAAATCCAGGCTCAAATCCAGGGAATACACCTGTCCATGTACGATTGACCAGTTTGAAAAATAAAAACAAAAATCATCCAATCAAGTTCTGACACAATAGCTTGTTTTTTTTCCTGGATTTGGCCCTGTTCTTTCATCATTTTCCTAAATAATAATTTTAATTATGTAAGTAAATACAGAAAGAAGAAAGGTAAAATGTTTAAGAAATAATAATTCCGATATTCCCATCTTAGACCGTGAATATTTTATTTTGTCATATTATTTGTCGTTAAAGGTTAATCATGAATCCCGAGTATAGTGATTTATAGTGATTATAAATATATAAAATTAAATAAATGAATAAAAGGTTGAAAGTCTTTTGTAAATATAATGATTCGATGGAATGTTTGTGTGATCATTTTCCTTACCCTAAATTTCTCATCCATCAACATCCGCTTTGCTTTCTAATTGATTGCCTCAATTGGAATTGCTTTTCCACCGAGATAATTGTCTCGTATTTGGAGCGGAAATTTTGACTTTCAATTCACATGTTCATATTTCATCTCAAAGATCTCATCATACAAAAAAGGAAAAATTGATATTATTGATCTCCAAAACCATTAGGATTTTGCCGTTAATAGAGCTTCAACCACGTTCCCATTGTCCTGTATGTGTACGTTTTCTGTACACTAGAACAAACTGTTAGTGCCAAGATCAGTAGTCATGAGAGAAAAAGGATTGACGATCGTTGGCATTGCGACAATCAAGTCAACTGTCGGTACGAGTTGTATGTGGAGGAATTCGGTTTGCGAGAGAAAAACAAGTAGGTATAAGGTCGGAGTTATTATAATAATGAAAAATGTACCTTGACCATATTTATGGGAGAAGAATACGAGTGAAACAAGATATTGGACGTACAAACCTAATTCATGCGTCGTATGGACCGCATGACTCCTTGTTTAGTTGTGGTAGACTTCGTCCTTTGAATTTGTTTCCTTGTGCTATCGATTTTCTTGCGGAGATTGATCTCAAAAGATTCTCCTCAACTCCTGAAGATCACGTACGAAATTCTATAGACTTAATAAGGTAATTACCTTGAAGACTTCCTTACGAATACAGGTGACTATGAAGTCTGCTTCATCAAAAGCCTTCGATTGTCACTGGTTCGCATGAATCGCTTTGCCGTACGAAGACTAGATAGATGACGTCAGAGGTGAGGATAGAGGCAAATGCGCCATGGCCTTCGCTTAAGGAGATGACGAAAACGAATCTAGTGACATGTCTTAACGCTGAGGGCTTATGTGATGTTTTAATGTAACGCTGGCACTTATTTGAAGCTCCTTGCCAGTTCAGGGATGTAACAAATGTTTTAGATAGAACTTATAGTTTTAGGCTTTTTTGGATGGGTGAAATTTCTTGGACGGTTTCCGTTTCTCTGCTGTTAAAAGTGAAGTAATCATACATGTCAAATCTTTCACCTTCTCCTTTTTCCTTTTTTCTTCCTTTGTTGACATTTAACAGAAATTGAAAGCACGTTAATGATTGTACTTTGCTTTATTATATTATAAATTAATATGCGATTCACAACAGATGATGATCTTAATGAATTGTTAAATATATGTAGAAGACGACTATAAAAATTTCATTTTTTCACGTATAAAAACTTACATAAAATTTGACTGTTAAGTTAGTTGGTTTTAAATCTGTACAATCTATATTTTAATGACTTATGTTACCTTTAATCCAAAATATCTACTGGTCGAGTTCACTTGTGGCAACTTATATTGAGTGTTGACCTCGTTTTTTGTAAGGGTGACATGGACAACAGATGTCGGACCCACTCACGTCCAAGCATGCAAATTCCAACACGTTTCGACTGGAGACTTAGACGGCAAAGGATGATATTTATGGACGTGGAAAATGCTTTATAACGCAAGACAAAAATGTTTCGAATATTGGCAATATGATAAAAAAAATGATTGCATATTGATAACCAATCATAAACAATTCAACCAGCAAAATAATCTAAAATCAGGCAAACAAAAATGAAATAAACAAGAGAGAAGATCAAGTGTGGCTTTAAGTGTAAAGTGATGCATTAGATTCAAATGTTACAAGAGTTGCTATTTATAGCGTTCTATCCGAAGTGGTAATCGTTGGATAAGAATCACGTGGCCACATCCCCCAAGTTAAAGCCTCACATTAGTAGTCTACTACACATTTAATACATTGACAACGAGTCAGTCACCCTACATCGTAGACTGACAATCCTGACATTTATTATTACAAATATTATATCAATCATTCTTAGGGATTGCCTATAGATCCTCTAAAAGCTAGTGAGGGTTTCAGCCAAAAGGAGCATCGGAGTGGAGATCTTCGGCATGAAGAGCTTCGGGACACAGAGCTTCGGTTCTTCTTTGACTTCTTTACTTTGATCAATTGGGGTCTGTTGAGTGTCGACTTTGACTCATATTTCCATGTGGACTATCACGTGACCTTCACTTGGAACCTTGGTGGCGAGGCATAATAAAATGTTTTATCGATGTAACTCGAAATTATAATTATATAAAGTACATGTTAATCAAATCTTGAGATTCAAATCTGGTCAATGATCCAATGTGACTAACTCAACATTGTACCAAACTATCACTTAATAACTTAACTATGGAACCTTGATCTGACCTTAACTACTCGATGAAATCTAGGCTTAGATGGGCTATGCACGAGCACCCATTGGTACTTTAAAAAGAACACATTCAAGAAACTTTATTTATAAGTAACATCTTATTTATGACAGAGAAAATATTTAAATTTTAAAAGTAAATTTTTTTATAAGTTTTAATAGGCTTTCTATTTTGACGCTCTATTTTGCTTTTTTACTAAATACTTATTATTTTTCGCTCATGAAAATTAGATAGAAGAATTGTTGGGGTTTTGGAATTTCATGAATGTGGAGCGAACAAGTTATCCCCCAGCCCCTCTTATTCTTCAAGAGTAAGCTGGTAAAGAGAGTGAATTTCCAACTGCCGAATATACCCAATTCCCTCTAGGTTGACACGCTGCTCGGGATCAGCTCGACCCATACAATCAACCAAAAAAAGTTCCAAGAAAGACTAGTGCTACTCCCTGTTTTCACAACTTTGTTTCACCTGGTGAGCCCGCCTTTGGGACTACTGGTGAAGGGGCTCCAGCATGCGCCAAAATGTCCAAGAAAACCCAACTCACTGAGGGCATTCAATCCCACGTAAGCATCTGGATAATTAGGAATAAGACAACATTGTTCCACCGAACTAACCTACTTACCTATTCAAAATCAAAATGAGAAGCGAAAATCCCGACCTTTCTTTATGATCCCTGTTGGTATTTACAGTCCCAAAAT